AGGGAAGTTCCTAGTCAATTTCTTTCTATAAGAGGAAGCGGGCTTCCTCCTTGCTATGCATCCATCTCCTTGTTCACAAAATTAAGCATCTGCTCCTTGCTCTGCTAGCGTATCTCCTCCTGTGTTACTTCCTCAAATTTGGTAATGTTATCAATGCGATCTCATTCTTATCTCACTTGAGACATTACTGATTTTTTTTCTTCTAATTAATCATTCCTTTTTGTAGTTCTGAGTCATGGATGGTTACACCCTGCACCACCCTGCACAAGACTCGGCCACCGGAGGCTACTCCTCAGCTGCTAAAGGAGGGCTTGCTGGTGTCCTCGTCGTACTCCTTGCTATCGTCGTTTATGTATTCTTCAAGCGCCAAAACTGCCTCGAGGAGGTCGACCCCGGGAAGATTCAGGTGATCAATATTGTTGAAATGGGAGAAAGGAGCGGCCATGCTGGGAAATAAGTAGGTACCATACCATGTAATAAGAAGTTGAAGCTAATTAAGATTCATACAAATGAGATTTTCCTAATCTTCTAATATTGTTTTTGTATTAATCGCAGGAATCCATGAAGTACCCGGATGCCTCGACTGTTCCTTTTTAGTTATACCTACTGTATTGTTGCATTTTAATTTGTACTTTATATATAAATAAATGATTGGGTGAATTTTGCGGTGGATTTGAAGTAATATCTCAATTAAAATCGTCAAAGCAGATAAGGAATTGTGGGTTTTTACTTTACTTGGAGTGGGGTTTTACTATTACCAATTTACTGTGTTGCTGCCACTTTATTTTTTTAGGGCTAGGGGGCTTTAACTACGAGTAATTTTCTTATTTGCTGGGGCTTGCTTTAGGAGCTTTCTTTTTATAGTCTCTATTTAACGAAAAGAAGGGCGTCCATAAAACAAACAACTCACCGCAGCAGCCACAGCCAAAGTCTTTGTTAAATTGATCGCAGATCCCACTCCATGTCAAACCGGTAGTGTTTTGGTGCGTTGAGCTTCGGATCGGTGCCAACTACATCTCCTCTGCGCGTTCATGAGGGCGGTTTTTCTCGCCGCCATCCAACGAGGGAGCCTTCGGTTGCAGTCGCTGCTTGTTCTTTTTTTCGCTCAACTTCCGCCGCTGGTGGAGTTACTAGCGGCGTGGACCTGGACAGTTGCGTTGGCTGTCGTGATAGCTTGAGTCTGTCGGAGTTTTCGCTTTTCGAGTTCTTTTTGTTTTAGGCTCCTGGCAGCTGGATCGTTTCGTTGTTAACGGCTATGCCGTGGTTTGGTGGTTTTATCGGTAACTGGTTCATTGATTGTGTTTTTTTGTTTTTTGTTTTTTTCGCGAGAGAGAGGTGAGAATTGCTAGGGGAGATGGGTTGCGGTGGTGGTCCGTGGGTTTCAGTGCGTTAAGTGTGGGATCGGTGCCAACTCCATCTCCCCTTCGTGTTGATGAGGGCGGTTTTTCTCGTCGCCACCCAACGAGGGATGTCCAGTCGTTTTGCCTTCCGTTGCTTTCCCTTTTGTTTTCGCGCGACTTCCGCCGCTGGTGGAGTTCCTAGCGGCGTGGACCTGGACTGTTGCGTTGGCATACGTGATCGCTTGAGTCGTCGGAGTTGTCGCTTTTCGTTTTTTTTTTTTCCCGCTCCTGGCGGCTGGATCGTTTCATTGTTAACGGCTATGCCGTGGTTTGGTGGTTATGTTGGTAAGTGGTTCAATATTGCGCTGAGCTGTTGGGTTCTTTTCTTCTTTTTTTTAATAGAGGGAGACGAGAATTGTCAGGGGATATGGGTTGCGGTGGCGGTCCGTGGGTTTTGGCTTTGTTGAGTACAGAGGCATTAATCTTCTAGTAGTACAAAGGGAAAAAAATAGCAACCGCGACCTGGAGGAAGGGAGAGACGGGAGGAGATTAAAATTATCGACCTTGACTGGTGATTTTCTTAATAGATCTTTGAATTAATTTTTTATGATTACCTATATTGGTTGGTTGCTAGTTCCTCCCCAGTGGATGAGTGTTGTGTTGCAGTGATGGGGCGTGCTAGTATCTATGTTTTAATAACTGATTGGTTGAATGAAATGAATTGAAAGAGTATGGAAAGGAGCAGGACATGGGAATCGAAGCATTGGAAGCCATGCTTATGGATGATGAATTTAGAGGTGCTCTTCCCTTTTTTTCTTTTTGATTTTTTCAAAGTAAACAAACCAGTGATATGCAATGGCAGAAATTCATTCTAGCGAGAATGGCCTTAATACTTCTAACCATCGCTTCAACATATCAATATCTCCGCAGGTTAGGTTGGCTGGCTGTTCGATCATCATGGTGCTGTGTTTTTTTCTCTTCCCCGGAGTTTGGTCCTGTTCTTATGCTCTGCTCCTTTAGTTGTGCTGTTTTGGATTCTTAGCTCGATCAGTTTTATTTTCAGTGGGGAAAAAGGTGAACAGGAAACTGTGAATTCTATCTAGATCTGTGTATGCTTTGCTGTGTATGCTCAATCTCCGTAAATTATTATTTTATCTGCTAAAGTTTGCCATGGAATTCGATTCCAACATGGCATCATAATTGATAGCAGCCAGCAAAACTTCGGCCTCTTAACACGTTTATTTTCTAACAAGATCGGTAATTATGTCATTAAGTTTAAAAGTTTCAATCTTTTTTATTTGGTTAAGCTGTCATCGTGATTGCCTTATAATTATGTTCCCTGTGTTCTTTTTTCCCCTGCAGGTGAGGAGTGATCAGAGTGAATTTTGGGCTTTTGAGTGAGAATTCTATGTTTTTTTTTTTTTTTTGTGGTTGAATTTAGGATTTTCAAGATCCAAGAGTTTACTTGACTGAGATCTCAGACTTGCTGATTATGGCATATGGACTATTCAGGACAGAAATAGCAGACCATGCCTTCAGGCAAATACTGAGCTTTTTTCAAGTTTTCCAACAGAAAAAATAGCAAACAAGATCTGTGGCTGCTGTTGCACGGGGGCATCCATTCCTTTTCTTTCTGAGATTCATGTTGATAGATTGTACAATCAAACTCTAAATGCTTTATTCAGTATCTCACAGCCAAGATTAAATTCTACTTTGTGCCCGTTCCATTGATCTGTCCGCTATGTTCATCCGATTATTTTCATTTTTTGTTATCTATGCATTGTATTGACATTGAAACCATTGCTCACATCCTGTCTTTCTTCTTTCCTTTTTGTCTTGGACAAGGTTCACAGATATATGATGTGATTATGGTGCCGTACTGATCGCATAGTTGGCTTGCTCAAGATCAACAACAGAATTTCCATTCTGTTGGTTTTAAATGATTACTTTGTTTTATGTTTTCTGTTTTTAACCAGTCCATTTGCCACTTTGATTTCCACAATTGGATGGTGGGTTACAAAACTATCAACAAATTGAATTTTTTTTTTTTATGATTTCATTTCTTTTTGTTTTTTTCCTTTCAATTTGGTTTTTTTATTTTTTTTACTTTGAAATTTTTTTTAATTCCATCATTGATTAAATTCAGATTTATAATTTCACGAGTTTTAAATTTAAAAAACTAACTTGGATTTAAAAAATTCAATCCCTCTTTTCTTTTTTTTTCAAGTTAATGTTTTTGTTTTTTCAATTTTATCTTTTTAAAGTTTATTTATTATTATTTATTTGATTTTTTACTAATTTTAAAAATTACGTGAATTCTCTTAGGGTTTTTTACTTATTGTTATTTGTTAAATTTAATTTTTTAAAATAAATTATATTATATTACATTAATCAAACATTAGCATGGGATGGTCACGACATGGTTTTTATTTTGATTTCTATATCATTGCTTTGACAGTGTTTACAGCCTCTTTCGATATTGTCTTGCAATCTTTCGTGGTTGTTCTAGAAATAGCTCTGTATGATGGTGGGACAATGTTTATGGTAGAATAACGACAAGATTCCAGCGAAATTTTTTTATATATAAATATGATATTGATAATTTATTTTTTAATTAATTATTACTTTATTTTTATTTATTTACTACTACTGTTATCTATTTTTTTAATCATATTATTAAATAAATTAAGCTTTGAATCAAAATTTAAACTTAAAATATTAAAGGTTAAACTTTAAATATTATTAAACATTGAATTTAAAAAAAATTCTCTAAAGTATCCAAAACAAAAATAAAAATCTAGAGAATGAGAAACCAATTTAAAAAAATTATAAATCTAAAAATGAAATAAAAAGTAAATTAAAACTTTATAACAGGGTTAAGAAACAAACTTAAAAATCAGAATTTTAAGGGGTAAATATAAGATGTTATAAAATAAAAAGACATGATTTATAATTTTTTTAATAGTCAACATCAAATTTAATTGGGGAGGGAGAGAGGAAAAAAAAAGAGAGAGGTGTAGTTATAAACCATTATTGTAAACACTGTACACATCACTCTAAATAAATAAAACATTATAAAGCTTCAAATATCATAGCAAAATATATATATAAAAAAACATCATAAGTGGCTGGTGCTTGCATCACACGTACTAATATATCCATTGCTCCAGCATATTCAAGTGGGTATGCAACTTATCATGGAGGCTAAAAGTGTAGTTCATTGATGTTTTTAGAATCGGTAGACCCTTCCTCTCTAAACATCGCACATAGCTTATTGAAATATGGTTCGACATTGATGATTTTTTTTTTTTTCATCTTGATTTTTATACTTGGTTCTTTGAATTTTCAGAGCAGCCTATTATTTTGTTTTTTTAGATATAATCTTTTATTATTATTATTTTTATTTTAAATAATTTATAAAATTAGAATTTTTTTCAATTTTATCTTTATTTATTTTTTAATCTATTTGATACGGTTTTATTCTTTTCATTGTTGTTTGTTTTATTTGAGATAATTTTTAAAATTTATTTTATTTTTAAAATTCATCCTCCTTCAGTTTTCTTTTCATATAAAATTTAATCCTTATCATGTTGATAATTTTTTTTATTTTAATAATTTTTTTAATTGATTTGTTTATTTTATTCTTTGTATAAAATTAATGGGGAATTAAGTTTTTTAATTAAACTTCTGTATAAAATTTTATTTTTTATAAGTTTAAAAGATTAGCGCAAGTTAAGAAAATTTGTTTGGGTTTATTTAAGTTTTTTTTTCCTTTTTTATGTTTTTATTTTTAATTTGATGATTAACTATTTAAATGGGAAAATATTCCTTAAGAGCAATCACACAGATTTTCGATTCCCCTTGGCCCATCCTTCACTCTTCCTTCGTGTGGTGGGTTTAGAAATTGTTAATTTAACCAACACATTATTCAATTCAAAATGACAATAACCAAATATTTAATTATGAGAATCAATTTTAACTCAGGTTGTATTCTTAGATATATAATTAAGATTTTTTTATGTTAGCTACAGTTTAATTTCCCAAAAGCAAAAACAATTCATCTAGGATATAAATTTCTATATGTTCTTTGAAATTATCTTTAGATTAATACTCCTTATTTTTATTTTATTTTTTAGATTTTTTAAATGATAATTATTTTTATGTAAATTTATTTTCTGAAATCATCTATTTTTAAAATGTTTTTTTTCCTCTTTTTTCAGGTGTTAACCCCTACCCTTTTCAGCGAATATTTGTTAAATTATTTATGCAAACGCAACTCAGTGGTTACTGGAGGAATGCATTCCTTTCGACATGGGATTATTGCCGCTCAAGAAGCAGAATTATTGCCAACTGGAGTTTACTAATGCTAAGTGGTGATTATAGCAGCCGCTTAATCATATAATTCCTGACATCCGACGCTCAACGCACCGAAACACCACCGGTTTGACATGGAGTGGGATCTGCGATCAATTTAACAAAGAGTTTGGCTGTGACTGTTGCGGTGAGTTGTCTGTTTTATGGACGCCCTTCTTTTCGTTAAAAAGAGAATATAAATAGAAAGCTCCCAAGGCAAGCCCCAGCAAATAAGAAAATTACACGTGGTTAAAACCCCCCCAAAAAAATAAAGTGGCAGCAACACAGTAAATTGGTAATAGTAAAACCCCACTCCAAGTAAAGTCATTCTTCAAGCGCCGAAACTTTATTTTTTATATATTTTTTTTACTTTACTTGGAGTGGGGTTTTACTATTACCAATTTACTGTGTTGCTGCCACTTTATTAAATATATAAAAAATAAAGTTTCGGCGCTTGAAGAATGCATAAACGACGATAGCAAGGAGCATGATGAGGACACCAGCAAGTCCTCCTTTAGCAGCTGAGGAGTAGCCTGCTGTGGCCGAGTCTTGTGCAGGGGGGTGTGGGATGTAACCATCCATGGCTTAAAACTACAAAAAGGAATGGTTAATTAGAAGAAAATAAAATCGGTAATGTCTCAAGTGAGATTAGAAAGAGGTCGCATGCATTGATAATATTACCAAATTTGAGGAGGAATTAAACGCGGGAGGAGAAAAGTTAGCAGAGCAAGAGTGGGAGCTTAATTTTGTGAATAAGGAGCTTTAAGAACGCATGACATGACAAGGCTGTTTGGCTGGTCTAAGGAAACAAATAGGAGGGATTTAAAGGAAAATGGAAGATCTGCGATGGACAGTGACAAAGTGACGAAGTGGGAATCGTTGCCCAAGTGACAAAATGGGCGCCATTGCCGAAGTGGCAAAATATATCCATTCATCCGACATATTCAAGTGGATACTAAAAGCGTAGTTCACTGATGTTTTTAGAATCAACAGACCCTTCCTCTCTAAACATCGTACATAGCTTATTGAAATATGGTTTGATATTGATAATTTTTTTTTTATATTGATTTTCATACTAGATTCTTTAAATTTTTAGAGCAGTTTATTAATTTGTTTTTTTAGATATAGTCTATTTTTTTATTATTTTTTTTTATTTTAGATAATTTATAAAATTAAAATTTTTTTAATTTTATTCTTATTTATTTTTTTAATCTATTTGATACGGTTTCATTCTTTTTATTATTGTTTGTTTTATTTGAGATGATTTTTAAAATTTATTTTATTTTAAAAATTCATCATTTTTTAGTTTTTCTTTCATATAAGATTTAATTTTCATTATATTGATAATTGTTTTTTTATTTTGATAAATTTTTAAATTGCTTTGTTTGTTTCATTCTCTCTATAAAATTGATTGGGAATTAAGTTTTTTAACTAAAATTCCGATATAGAATTTTATTTTTATGAGTTTGAAAGATTAGCACAAGTTAAAGGAAATTTGTTTGGTTTTTTTAGGTTTTTTGTTTTTGTTTTTTTTGTCTTTAAATTTATGTTTTTGTTTTTAATTCGATGATTAACTATTTAAACGGGACAATATTCCTTGAGAGCAAGCACAAAGATTTTCGATTCCCCTTGGCCCATCCTTCACTCTTCCTTTGTTTGGTGGGTTTAGAAATTGCTGATTTTTTTCCTTGTAATTAACCATTCCTTTTTGTAGTTAGTTTGAAGCCATGGATGATAGAACAGCCAGACAACCTAATAACCTGTGGAAATATTGATATTTTGAAGCGATGGTTACAAGTATGAAGGCCATTCTCGCTAGAATGAATTTCTGCCATTGCATATCATTGGTTTGTTTGCTTTGAAAAAAATCAAAAAGAAAGAAAGGGAGGAGCACCTCTAAATTCATCATCCATAAGCATGGCTTCCAATGCTTCGATTCCCATGTCCTGCTCCTTTCCATAGCCTGCCAATTCATTCCATTCAACCAATCAGTTATTAGAACATAGCATGCCCCATCACTGCAACACAACATTCCTCCACCGGGTAGGAACGATCAACCAACCAATATAGGTAATAATAAACAATTAATTCAAAGATCCATTTAAGAAAATCAAAGAAAATTACCAGTCAAGGTCGATAATTTTAATCTCCTTCTGTCTCTCCCTTCCTCCAGGTCGCGGTTGCAATTTTTTTTCTTTGTAATAGAAGATTGATGCCTCTGTACTCAACAAAGCCAAAACCCACGGACTGCCACCGCAACCCATCTCCCTTGGCAATTTTCATCTCCCTCTTAAAAAAAACCCCAACTGCCCAGCGCAATTCCACCATGGCACGCCCAACACCAACATACCATGGCATAGCCGATAGCAACGAAACGATCCAGCGCCAAAATAAAAGCGAAAGCAACGGAAGGCAAAAAGACTGGACATCCCTCGTTGGATAGCGACGAGAAAAACCGCCCTCATCAACAAGCAGGGGAGATGGAGTTGGCACCGATCCCACACTAAACGCACTGAAACCCACGGACCACCACCGCAACCCTCCTCCGCAACCAGTTGGCACCGATCCCACACTAAACGCACTGAAACCCACGGACCACCACCGCAACCCATCTCCGCTAGCAATTCTCACTTCTCTCTCGAGAAAAAGAAAAAAAAAACAACACCAATGAACCAGTTACCAATAAAACCACCAAACCACGGCATAGCCGTCAACAACGAAACGATCCAGCTGCCGGGAGCCAAAAAAAAAAAGAACACGAAAAGAGACAGTTCCCACAGACTCAAGCGATCACAACAATCAACGCAACCGTCCAGGACCACGCCGCTAGTAACTCCACCAGGGGCGGAAGGCGCGAGAAAACAAAAGCGAAATCAGCAGCGAGGCTTGTAGTCCAGCGGTCCTGGTAGAGTTTCTCTATCTATGTATCTTGGATTTAAGTTTCAACGAGCATATTTATCACTCTCGCGGTGTTTCATTTGTTTACTCAACTTGCAAGATATTCAGTAAATTTAGAGATTAATCGTGGTGTGCCGACACCTCAAATTTTAAAAAGAAAAAAAAAAGCGAAAGCAACAGAAGGCAGAAAGACTGGATAGCGGCGAGAAAAACCGCTCTCATCAACGCGCAGAGGAGATGGAGTTGGCACCGTTCCGACACTCAACGCACCGGAACGCCATGGGTTTGACATAGAGTGGGATCTGCGATCGATTTAACAAAGAGTTTAGCTGTGACTGCAGTGATTGTGGACGACTTTCTTTTCGTTAAAAAGAGACGGTAATAAAATGGAAGATCCAAAAGCGGGCCCCAGCAGATAACAAAATTACCAGTAAGTCCACACTGATTTGTTACAGTGGCAACGCAGTAAAATGATAATAAAAAAAAAAACCCCACTCCAAGTATAGAGCAAAAAAAGAAAAAAAAGAATTAAGGGAAAAAACCCAAAATTCATTATCTGCTTTGACGATTTTAATTGAAGATTTTTAACTCCAAAACAAAACTCACACCATAGTTTATTTATATATAAAGTACAAATTAAAATGGTCTGATGTTGAGTTTTTTGTCGTGAGAAAACAGACCAAATATTTATCTGCAATAATACAGTAGATATAACTAGAAACCAATTGTGGTGGCGCCCGAGTACTGAATGGATTGCTACCTCGGCGAAGAAGAAGACCTGCAATTAATACGAAAACATTTATATTGATAGATTAGAAGAATCTCATTGTATGAATCTTAATCAGCTTCAACTTCTTATGACATGCTACCTCCTTATTTCCCAGCATGGACGCTCCTTTCTGGCATTTCAACATCCACCTCAAATTTTACGGAGCAGTTTCGACACTTGAAGAATACATAAACTACGACAGCAAGAAGGAGCATGATGAGGACACCAGCAACTCCTCCTTTAGCAGCTGAGGAGTAGCCTTCCGTGGCCGAGTCTTGTGCAGGAGGGTGTAGGGTGTAAGTACCATCCATGGCTTAAAACTACAAATTAAAAGGAATGATTAATTAGAGAGAAAAATGCAGTAATGTCTCAAGTGAGATTAGAAAGAGATAGTATTGATAACATCACCAAATATGAGGAAGAAACACCAGCGGGCATACGAGCAGAGGTTTCCGCCGTCGTTAAATAGAACCGGTTGATGATAATATTATAATTTTATAACATATTATTATATTATATTATATTAACACCCTGCACAGGTGGGAATGCATGCTTGACGAAAAATTCGGTTTGCTATAGCATATTTATATTAACAGCCTTAGCGGCCTGGGGTTGACGCTGGCTGAAAAATTTTGATATCAAAGAAAAGTAAAGATTTTATCAATATTTTTTGATTAGTTTTATTATAATTTATTTTTGGATTATTTTTTAATTTATATTTGTTTCTCTCTTTAAAAAGTACAAAAAATTCAAAAATATTATTAAAAAATATAACCGGAAAAAAAAAATGTCAGAGCACTCTAAAAATAATTAAAAATTAGTTTAGAAGGTTCAAAATTATAAAAATTAAAATGTGACAGTATTTTATAGGCTGATAAGAGCCTTGTTGATAAAAAAAATTCAATTTGAGGAAGAAAAGTCCAAAATTAGATGTTTATGGACTCAATTAAATTTTATTGAAGGTTTAATTAAATTTATGGAGGGTTTAATTGCAAGAAAAATTAATTTTGAAGTCAGTTTAGGCTTTAATTGGAAGAAATTAAAGTTCTGGAGTTAAATTATAATTTTTATAAGTTAATTTGATAAAATCAAGGGCTTAATTGCATAAATATTAAAATTTGATAGCCAATTAAGGACTTAATTTAAAAGATCCGAAACTAGGGACCAAAATGAAAAATATGTATAAATAGAGAAGCTATAATTAAACTGAATCAGAGGTCAAATTGAAGAAATTAAAAGTTTATTGATTAATTGAGGGTCAAATTATATAAATTCAAGCCTAAAGACCAAAATTTTAATTTTTTAAATCAAAATTACAATTGAGGACTCGATTGAACAAATCATAAATTGAGGACTGATGTGAACTCTGACATGTTTTTTTTCCTCCCTTTTCTTTTAAATGAAACGACACGTTTTATCTAAAACGGCTTCGTTTCCTACACTGTTAATTAAAAAAGAGGAAGAAAAAGCCTTAAATAATATTGTTTTGAACGACATTGTGAGTCCTTTTCTTCCCCTAGACGCGCAAAGCAGGGGAAGAAAAAGATTTTTTTTCCTCTGTTTTCCATCGCCTTCCCCTTAAAAAAAACACAGACTTCCTTTCAAAAAGACAACAACACACCCCCACTTGCCCAAAGCTTTCCACCTGTTAGAGGGAAGGCATTACAGTGGCCACTCTGGCCTCTCTTTCCTTTTCTTTTGCCTATAAAAACAAGAAAAGAGAGAGCGAAGAAAAAGGAGGATAAGAGAAAAAAGAGAGCAGAAAAGAGAGGAAAGACCGAGAGAGAAGAAGAAGAAAAGGCAGAGAAAAGAATGAAAAATAGAGGGGAGAGAGAAGAAAAAAAACATAGCCTCTGCCACCATCGCGAACCACTAACACCACCACCAACACTGTTGTCTGTCGCCTCTAGCAACTCCGCCCACGACAGCAACCACCGCAGGTCATCCCTTCTCCCCTTCCTTTTTCTCCCGCTTCATCCCTACAACGCCTCCACTGTTTAAGTAGCATGTGAACAGTGGGAGGCACTATTCACACGAGCCCAGCCCCGCAGCCCAGCCCATGCATTTGGGTCTGGTCCGACTCATTTCAAAACAAATTAAAAGAAAACAATATTTTTCAATATTTGTGATTTCCCCACTTTTTAATTTATGCTTCTTCTTTTTTTACTTAATAGTAGTCTATATTTTATGTCATAAAATACAAATTCAGTACTAAAATACATGATTTTCGTCAAAACTTCTAAAATACAAAAACAAATTGAAAAAAATAAAAAAAAATATTTTTGTGTATAAGGTCAAGTGTCTCAAAGCTAAAAAATCATATTGTGTTCTTCATACACGAAAAAACAATATTTTAGCATGCATTTTGGCTTTAATAATTAGTTTCTTAAAGTCAAGAAAACATTGATCAAAATTTCAAAAACAATAAAAATTTTATTTTGTTTATCTTTTAGTATTTGGGGTACGACATTACATGTAATATGTATTTCGGATATTAAATCCTTTTTTTTAATGCTAGAACAATTAGATTTTATCCTATTAAAATAAGAAACTCCTTATTAAAGAAAGCTTTTATTGAACTTTAAACAGACTAACAATTATAAAACACAATAAGACCATAGTTTTTTTATCAGACATTAAAACAATGCGACCTACTTTAAATAGGACATAATTGGAATGCTAATACCTTCCTTGTAATCATTCTTTGTACTTGATTTCTAAGACTAATTAGGGTTTTTAATGACCAGAATACTAGATGACGACTCCCATTCAATTTTTTTACCGATAAAAGACAAGAATTTCTTATCTCCTTATATTTTTCAGATAGACTTTTACAATTTTCCTTGAGTGGTGGATGATCGTCGTGACACCGCACAATGCAACAAGGTTTATGTAAATTTTTTTGTAATTCTCGATTAAGTTATTAAAAAAATCTGAAACTTTATATGTAGCCTTCTAATATGATGCTTTAGGTTGGGTTAAAATTTTAGAATTTTTGGAGAAATTTAGAAATTTAATAAAAAATCATAATTTGACCAGTTTTATATTATTGGATGTAATTTTTAATCCAACCATCAGAATGAGCTAAACTTTTATAAGGGATCTTAAAATATATTGAATAAAATCTTGTTAAAATTTTAAGATGAAGGAAACTTGGTAGTGCTAAAAAAAACCATCAAATAAAAGTAAAATAACTTCTTAAGGGTAAAATGATTATTTGCCATTAAAAATTAAAAAGAATAAGATTTTAGACCAAAATATTCAATTAAAAACCAAAGGGACCACTTTTTTTATGAAACATTAAATGAATAAAAAAAACAGATACATTTTGAACATTGAGATAAAAAGAAAAACCATTAATTTTTTTTATAATATCAAATTAGATTCTTAAATTTATAATTTTTTCAATCAGCATAACCAAATTTTTTTTTCCCCGTAAAATTAAACACCAATCAAATGTTGATATATTTATTTGATAAAAAAACCTATAGAAAAAAACTAAAATAAATTATGAGCTTTAAATTCCATATACTGCAATTTTTGAAGACTAATTTACAAAAATATATTGGTGATTCAAACAAAAAGTTTCTAAAGAAAACAAGAAATTCAGCATTGTTTCGATGA